AACACCACCAGCCACTCCAAGGGAGAAAGTCTAACTCCTGCAGAGAGTTCCAATCTCAGAAACCCACAGGGGCAGTTCTACCCTGCCCTGTAGAGTCGATGTGCATTGGAATTGACTCAATGGCACTAAGTCCTTTTGTTTCCTAGAATAACAACCAGAAGACATTGCAGGATTATTTGCAAGCAGTACAATTTTTTTTAACTGTCAATGTTTTTAGTACTTATTATGCACTTGATACTGTACATGATTTCATTTTTCAAACAATCCTACTATTCTATTATTATACCAATTTTGAAAACAGAATTCTTAGAGGTGTTTTAGAGTACAAAAGAGACCCAAATCACACATATCACTTCAGGGAAACATTTATTGCATCTTAAACAAAACCAAGACAAAGATAAAGATGCAGCATTCAGAAGATGGAGAGCATTAGCACGCGGCCCTCAGGGTGTCTGAGGGTTTGCTGAGAAACAGAGCAAAGGAAACTGTCCCAAAAGTATAAATGGTGGCAGATCAACACATCACAGTTCCAGGTAGGGCTACAGACACAGAACAGGACCAGGACCGAGACATTCCCACTACAGTACACCCAAGAGCTTGCAAGATGGGCAGAGGGCCTTCCAACCAAGGCAGTCAGGTTATGACTCATCACAATGTGACCCCAGCACTGTTGTCTCCGTCAAGGGCACACTCAGGCCAGCCCCTATGGGAGACTGCCCCTCTCTGGGCTGACTGGAAGGGACAGAGATGGTCCATTTCTCAATGCTCTCTGCCCAGGTCAAGACTATTCACGTGCCTGGTCAATGGCCAGAAGGAAGTCAATGAGGACTTCATCCACATGCGGAATCTCTGCTAAGGGCTGTTGACTTTCACTGGTGTCCTTAGCTCTCTGCAAAAGGGGTGCTCAGAACTTAAGCTGGAATACAATAGTGAAGAAGGTAGTTAGCTCAACACCTTTCATATGTGGCAGAGGTGTGATTGCAAAATCCCGCATACAACCCTCCCACCATGTACTAGGACAACCTGAACCCCTCCATCCACCAGTATTACAAAAAAGGGCACCACATGGAAACAGGTTATCCCCCAGGCCTGGCCACTAGCCTGTGCAGCTGGCCTGAGGGACGAGGATGGGCCCAGGGCCTCCTGCTGCCTGACCTGCTTGGTCAGATCCTGAGCACGGACAGAGGGCAGGTGCTGGCATGCCACAGTCTAGTGCTAGGGAGGGGGCATCCCATGCTTCCAGGGGTGGGGGTGGGGTGTTTCTGGAGCCAGGGCCCCTCAGGTGGGTGTGCAGCCCCCACTGTTCTGACTGCATACCTGCCTGGGCACTGCCATGGCCCTATGGAGCGCAGGGCCTTGTCAATGTTCACTGCCCTCCGACCTCAGCCTGGGACCCCAGAATTGCTGGAGCAGAGCTGAAAGCTCATAGGATGGCAGTGACCAGGCTCAGGTCACTCATCCTGTTTGTGTCCAAGCCAGGTCCCCCGACTCAAAATCCAGCGCTCCCGGTGTTACATCCCATTGCTGTCCCTTCTTCACCCACCCAGGGTGGTGCTGGGAAAAGTTTAGACCTTTGCGTTGGGGAGCTGCGGGCCCCCATGAAGGAGACTAGAGAACTGAAGAGGAACACCAAAACAGCCCACGTAGAATGATCCAGAACTAGAAGGAGGCAAGCAAGAACACACCTACAGCTATTCTCATCTCCTCCCAGGAGGGGCCCCACTGTGGCGTCAGTTGCATAGGGGTAGCAGGGCTTAATGAGCTCTTCAATGAACTTAACCAATGACCTTGTTCTGAAATAACCTAATTATATTCTGGCTTCCTGCTCAGATTTTTCTCCTGGGAGATAATGCACTGACCAGCCTACACCTGCATTTTGTTGCAGCTGGCAATTGTAGTGCTCATTATCAGTCAATCAACTGGCATTCTGCTTTAAGTGCAAGAGGGCACTTCCAAATGTTCATGGGAAAAACGGTACTGAGAGATGACGAAATTTTCCAAGAATTTCTTTAAGCCCCTACATCCTCCTCTTTATATGATGTGGTGAAAGAGCACTACAACAAAAAGTCATAAACCCCTTAACCAGTTCTTTTCCCACCGAGGGCTGATTTATGGAAACCCACCTAAAAATAAGCGAGGTATTATCTGTGGGTCGTGGAACCTGGCCTTGCTGCCAGCTCACAGGGACCAGGCATGAGGGCCGGAAGCCTGGGGAGGAGCTCTTTCTTGAATTCTTGACGTTAAGCCCTCAAGCACAACCTCGGTGCTTCCATTGTTTCCCCATGAGCCCTTAGCAAACGTCCCCTTTCCTTTGTCCCTGGGAGAAGGCTCCTTCCGAATTTACCAAATTCCCTGAGGGACAAGCAGCTGACAGCCACTGGGGTCTCCCTCACCTCCCCCCACGAAAAGTGCATAGGATTCACTGACATCTTTACACCTGGCGCTGGAGACTCGGGGCGCGGTACCAGCTGGCACGGACGCCGACACGCCATCGCTGCTGAGGGGGGGGGACACGGACACCGCCCAGCCGACACTGGCGGGCTCCACCGACCCTGACGCCCGTACTCTGCTCTTTCTCTGCCTATTTCGGGCAAAACTGGGACAAACGCAGGTGGACATTTTGAAGGCGAAGGCTGCTTGAAATGGACCGTACGTATCACTTTGTCCTTAATCACGTTGCCAGGGCCTTTCCCCCAAGAAAATTGTCCACCATTCTTCGGAACAAAGGACTGAAAAGACACTTTAAACATCGATGAAAGGCAAAATCAGCTCCCGTTTCGGGCCGCCTGGCGTTGGGACCGTCCTTGGGGAGCGGGGAGAGGGGGCGGGGAGGCCGAGCTGCAGGGGGAGGGCGGCCTCCTCTCTCTGGGGTGCAGCCAAGGTCCTTCTGGCTCTGGCGGGGTACGGGAGGACGTCAATCGGTCATCGATGGCGGCGCTCCCTCCTATCTGCTTTTCGGCCATTTTCACCGCGGTGGCATTAGCCAAGAAACGATTAGAACCGGGCGGGCGGAGGCCCCGCAGGATGTCCGTGCGTGGACTCGCACTCCGACCAGCCAAAATGGCCACTTTCACTTGGCCGGGGACCGCAGGCCCTGCCACTAAGCCATCTAAAAGCAGGCAGCCGGAAAGACTGCCGGGACGCGACCAGAGGGCACCCCACCCCCTACCTCCGACTCCCGCTGTCACGTCGGGGGAGGGGGGACGACCGCCCGCCCTGCCAACCCCGCCAACGGTCGAAAGGGAGGTGCCAAGTCGCAGACCGCGGGAGGTTCTTAAAGCCCTAGCAGCTTTTCCTCGTCCGTGAACTCGGATGGGCCCAAGGACGGACCCATTTGTGCACATTTCGACTAGCCTGTCTTTTTTGTTTTGTTTTTACACCCCCTCCTCCCTTAGATATGAAAGACTGGTACAGCTTAGTTCACAAGTCAAGCTTCAAACACTGTGTCAAAACCTCAGGAATTAGTGACTTGGACCTTTGGCTCTGTCTTGGCCGGGAGGCACTTCTCAGCATTGGTCCCAATTTTATACAGGTGGTAGGGGATGGTGGGGTGGTGGTGGTGGTGGTGAGGTGGGGGGAGTATCTTTCTGGCTTTAGGCAAGGTGCATTCCTGATAGTCCTGAATCCCAACCACAAGTCATCATGTACCTGGTGACCATGGTGACCAAGAGCTGTCTCATCTTTGATGGTTGAGCACATCGGGCCTTTTCTTGCCCCATCTGACCATGTGCTACTGCTCTGAGCATTGTCACAAATATTGCATGAGGGAATCCTGGAGACCCATACTTTATAGATCCCTTCCTGCCCCGAAAAGCACCAACATTCTGCTTCTGGGCCAGTTGACAGCAATGTAAGACCGATTTAAGGTGCCTTGGCCCAATGCTTCAGGGCTAATCCCCTTTGGATGGCACCCTTTACTCTGTAAAGTGGCAGTGGGATGAGCCTTGTAACCCAAAAATCCTCCTTCCGTGTGCAGGCACAGAGGCCTGACTGACTCCAGGACACTTACATGAACTGAAGGGTATTCAAGTGCTCACAAACGGAGCACTGCTGTATAGATCCCAAGATCCCTCTGGTGTTGGCTATCAGGTGAGAAAGACCAGCCAATACTGCATGTCATCAAAGAACATAGCCCCATGTTTGGTGTTCTAACAAACTCAGGAGTTACATCATTGCTTTCTTTAACCTTGGTGCAGGTCTGCTCATTGATCTAAATACACCCGTGCTCATAGGCTATGGCTGAGTTGAACATGGCCTCTGCACTGTTGCAGTGGCCGGAGGGTCTGTGCCCCTCATTTCAACTAGTCCCTCGGGGGAACCTGGCTCAGCAGGCGTTGGCTAGTTATTGTTACTGTCCATACAGTGCATACAGTCCTGCCTTTAGCCCAGGCTTTTCATCTTTGAAGAAGAGGCATAAACCTCAGATTGCAACATTTCTGGGTTTACACTGAAGGTGTTTGTTCTCAGGACACCCAGACTCAGATGATTGACTTTAAAGATGTCACATTTGACCAATAGCTTGCACTAGGTTTGGGGGCTCTTCTCCATTATCTGGAAAGTTCCTCACTGAGGAGCCTAACCCACTTCTCATTTCTTGGCTTGCTGTGTTCCAGGACCCTCTCTCCCCAAAAGAAAAGCCAGGCTGAGCGCTGCATTCTCAGAACTTTCTATTTTACTTCTGTTGATGAACAACATCTTTCCTGGCTAATGCCACAAACCGAGGTGAAAAGTCCGGGTAGTGGGCAAGAGTCTCCACTTAAGCCTCCTTCTAAAGTGCCAGGGTAAAAGTTCGCGGGCGCCCCGCCTAGCGTTACCTCGCTACTTTCCCCTGCTTCTCAGAGTGGTTCAGCCCAGGCACCTCCGACGCCCCGCCCATGCTCCTCCCAATCCCCCCGCGCGACCCGTACATTGGCGCGCGGCTCGGGGGGGGGCGGAGCCCGGGCCGGGCGCGCGCGGCAGTCGCTCTATAAATAGTGGGCCGCACCAGCCGCGGCCTCATTCGGTCCTGGCCGTCCTGCAGAGTCGCTTTGCTTCCTGCCTCCGCAGCCGTGTCCGCAGCTTCCGCCTCGCCTCGCCCCAGCTCTGTTCCCGACGCCCATCTTCACTGACCAAAATGAACGGGCAGCTCAACGGCTTCCACGAGGCGTTCATCGAGGAGGGCACCTTCCTCTTCACTTCAGAGTCTGTGGGGGAAGGCCACCCAGGTGAGGCGACGGAGCCCGGAGTAAGGAGAGGGCGGGCCGGGGCCACCTCGGCCGCGGTGGCCGCCCTCTCTGGCTGGGCGGTGGGGAGAGCGTCGGCTGCGCAGCTTCCTCGTGGCGCCGCCGGTGTAGGGCGCGCGCCCGACCCCTCCCATCCGGCCGCGCGGCCCAGCGTGCGGAAGATTCCAGAAAGGCAGAAGGGTGGGGGCTGCGCAGCGTGTGCCCGGGCGGGCCGATCCTCCGCCCTGCCATCCCCAAGGTCTGGAGTGGCCGGCCCGCCCTACGTGCGCGCCACCCGCCGCGAGAGCGCGCGCCCGCATTGCAGCCGCAACCACGTGGCTGCCGCGTGTGGACGCTGGGCGCCGGCCCGCTGGGCTGGAGGCGGCGAGGGGCCCGTGCCCAGACGCCCCGAAAAGCCTATTTTTCGCCTTCCTGGCCGCGGCCGCTACCCCGCGAGAGTCCCGATTTGGGGCCTGCCCCGGCTGGTTACGGCCTGCCCATCAGGGTGACAACCATCCACTGATAACGGTGCGCCTTTGGGCAGGCGCCCCTTATTTGGCCCGTGGGTGAAAGGGATGAATTCGTGCCCGCCTTGGGGCCTTGGGAACGTAACGTTAGCCCAGGGTTTCCTCCACCTTGCCTTCTGTGCACTGTGTCCACTGATCCGCCATCATGGAGATCCGCGTTCTGTGTGAACGCATGACGCTTCTTCTTAACTCCAGGCACCTTCCATCTTGGCGTGAAAAGATCACCTCACGGGTCGTAGAGATCCATCACTGTGCTATTGACACTGTATCCGTCCTTTGTTCGCGGGACCACATCATGTGATGACTGGGGGGTCCATGTCGCTGCAGTCAGTGGGTTGTCCCTGGTGAGGGTTGGCAGGCAGGGGCGGAGCCAGCATCCTGGGGTGTAGAATTGCAGAAGCTCAGGTGTTCTGGGGGTGTGGGTAGGATGGTTATTAGGTTTATTCCAAACCCCACTGAGAATTCATGTGTTCGGCCAGCCTTTGAAAAAATTGACCATTTGAATGGCAGCCTTCAGGCTCGAGCCACTGACTCAGTTGCAATACACATTTGCTTGAATTTTGTTAGGATGGTTATAGAACCTTCAGGAAGTATTTCAGTGGTCATTTTATGTTTCCCTTCCCTCCCAGTTTTTAATAGGCAGCTAGAGATTTGAGGGAGCGTCCAACACTTGGAGCATTTTCTGGTCTCATATGTTTAGTCCCTAATGCTTGAACAAAACATAACTGGTTTTCCCCTTTTGTTTATAAAGTGCTGTGTGGGCTGAGGAGCAAGATAACATTTTCAATAGTTGTATTTATTGTAATCTAAACTAAAATTTCTTTTCCAGGATAATATTTTTTATTTTTATTATGGTTGAGTGGAACCATTGGTCTCTGGATATCAGTAGTGTCAAGGGTTTCCCACAATGTAACTGATCAAAGTTCCCACCTTCCAGGTTTCAAACCATTTTATCCCCAATATAAATTTCAGGGATAAAAAAATGGTAGAAAGTGCATATGTCATCATTGATTAAAAATAACATTGCACCAAGTCAGTTGTGACCCGCTAGGAGCACTCCTGTTGGGATTTACGGTGACTTGCCCTGCTAACTCCAAAGCCAGCAGTTCCAAACCACCAGCTGTTGAGCAAGTGAAAACGGCTTCCCACACCTCAAAAGTCTCAGAAACCAACAAGAGCAGTTTTGTGCTGTCCTACAGGGTCTCTGAGTCCAGAATTGACTGGATGACAATGAACTTGAAGCAGTGACCGTGCTCCCTCTCCTCTGAACTGCCCTCCCCTAATGGGTTAGGGTATATTAGACATGCAAGGTGTTCTGGCTTAGCAGAACTGAGGGCTTGTGCAACTCAATGAAGGTCTTGGTGTCAAGTTTTCAAGTAACATCCAGCACTTCAGGCAAATGGCTTCTGGAACTGCAGGGCCATAATTAGGCAAGAATTACCTCCAGAGATCTTTAGGATTACAGAGGATCATGCATGAACTGCCTAAGGATGAAAAACAAAACATTGAAGAATTGAGCTTGCAATGTTACTTTTTCAGATAAGATTTGTGACCAGATCAGTGATGCTGTCCTTGATGCCCACCTTCACCAGGACCCTGATGCCAAAGTGGCATGTGGTAAGTTCAGAACATGTACTTATTTACTACTGATGAAAAGCTAATACAGTTGTTTTATATATAAAAGTAAACTTTCTGAATGTCTCTTATAGAGACTGTTACTAAAACTGGAATGATTCTTCTTGCTGGGGAAATTACATCCAGAGCTGCTGTTGACTACCAGAAAATAGTTCGTGAAACCATTAAGCACATTGGCTATGATGATTCTACCAAAGGTGAGTTTGTAGTGAGTTGCCTTTTCTAAACCTTCCAATTTACTTCAGCTCACTAGTTCTAGAATGTTTTGCTAGTCATAAGCTTCTGTTCCATAGTTTTAGTGTACCGTCTCTGTTTTTCGTTAAGTACCAAATGTTGGGGTGCAATAATTGAAGTCTTTAGCAGCAGTTGGAATTCTAAAAAGTTGTTGTGGAAAGGGGGTATTGGTATAACTTTGGTTTTTGAAACAAAGCCTTTTTCTGCTTAAAGGGTTTGACTACAAGACTTGTAATGTTCTGGTGGCTTTGGAGCAACAGTCCCCAGATATTGCTCAAGGGGTTCACCTTGACCGGAATGAGGAGGATATAGGTGCAGGAGACCAGGTATTTCATTTTAGCTTCTACTTGCAGTTCTTGTGACAATAAAATTCTGAAGCTCCTGTTGACCGATCAACGACTTCCCTTTTTAGGGCTTGATGTTTGGCTATGCCACTGACGAAACGGAGGAATGTATGCCTTTAACCATTGTCTTAGCACACAAGCTCAATGCCAAACTTGCTGAACTACGTCGCAATGGCACCTTACCTTGGTTACGCCCAGATTCTAAAACTCAGGTAAGTGGGATTAGCAAGTTCTGTGAAGACTCATTTGTTAGCCTGGCACAGAAGATCCAAGTCTTTCATTGAATTATAGCTGATTACTACTGGAGGGTGGGGTGGGCGTGGATTGCTCCTTACTCTCCTTAGGCTGTGTTTGGGGAAGGAACTGAGCACAAAGCTTTTGTCTAGTGTACAACTCATCTGAGGTGTGTGTTCTTCCAGGTGACTGTGCAGTACATGCAGGATCGAGGTGCTGTGCTGCCCATCAGAGTCCACACAATTGTTATATCAGTTCAGCATGATGAAGATGTTTGTCTGGATGAGATGAGGGATGCCCTGAAGGAGAAAGTCATTAAAGCCGTTGTTCCTGCAAAGTATCTTGATGAGGACACAATCTACCACCTACAGCCTAGTGGCAGATTTGTTATTGGGGGGCCTCAGGTAAGGCCTCAGAATGGCACTGTGTTCTTTCAGAGCTAGCTATCACCACTTAGTTCCCCAGTCTTCGGAATCTCACACTGTGATTCCTGAGGCCGACTTGCTCAGTGATGTACAATGAACATTTAGCAACTTGATCTAGAAACATTGGATGCCAATGATACCTAAAGTGACTTAATTCTGCAATTTTCAGGGTGATGCTGGTTTGACTGGCCGGAAGATCATTGTGGACACTTATGGAGGCTGGGGAGCTCACGGAGGAGGCGCATTTTCAGGAAAGGATTATACCAAGGTGGACCGCTCAGCTGCTTATGCTGCCCGTTGGGTGGCAAAATCCCTCGTCAAAGGAGGTCTTTGCCGAAGGGTTCTTGTGCAGGTGTGTGTTCTGCTCTGTCATTAGGGAATTTATAGTCATGTAAGCGCAGCAGCGGAGGGGGGATAATACACCTTATTGCAGAAGTGTGTGGGTCTTTGGATCACTGACTTGTGATATCTGAATTCCTCTAGGTCTCTTATGCTATTGGAGTTGCTCACCCATTATCGATTTCCATTTTCCATTATGGTACCTCTCAGAAGAGTGAGAGAGAGCTATTAGATATTGTGAAGAAGAATTTTGACCTCCGCCCTGGAGTCATTGTCAGGTAAAGATGGTAAAGTCTGTTGCTAGTGAAAACACTGAGGGTGTGGGAGTGTACTGCATACTACTTAGATCTATCTAGAGGGAAAAGTGAATGACTCTTTGCCAGGGTAAAACTTGGTTTTTTAAAGTTCTAGAAGCATAAGGTTATACATAGATTGTCTTCGTTGAAGCCTTAGCTTATTTTAAAAATCTCTAAAATCGTGCACCATGGCTTAGACTAACCAGCAATCCTTTAGTGTGATAGTGGGCTTTTGGCTACTTTAGGGTGTTTACTTAGAAAAAACCTGTAAGTTAAGTGACATGGTGTAGGCTATTTGAGAAAACACGGTAGGGTGGGACAGTGGGACATTGGTAAGTATTCCATGGTCTCAGATGAGCTTTTGACATTTGAAATTCCTCAGGATACTGACAAGCTTTTTTGTATTTGTTGAGCAAGTGATGGAAAAACAACTAGTTACTGATAAAGGACTACAAGTTTGGCCACCAGGGAAGTAACACACTTTTGCCACAGACTTTTTTCCTAGCCTAACGCAGAGAACTGACCCCACTTGCCAGAGCTCTTGAACACGGGTCTTGCTGATTGTTGTGCTTTCTTTCAAATGAATGCTACATATTAAGTTACGGACTTGTATATTCCAGGGATCTGGATCTGAAGAAGCCAATTTATCAGAGGACTGCAGCCTATGGCCACTTTGGCAGGGACAGCTTCCCCTGGGAAGTGCCCAAAAAGCTTAAATATTGAAAAAGTGTTAGCCTTTTTTCCCCAGACTTGTTGGCGTAGGCTACAGAGAAGCCTTCAAGCTCTGAGGGAAAGGGCACCCCCTTCCTAAATTTTTCCTGTCCTCTTTCAGCTCCTGACCAGTTGCAGTCACTCTATAGTCAATGACGTGCATTTTAGCTATTGTGGGGGACTGACTGTAAGTTGGGCTTGCTACTCTGTCCCTGGTGTTTGTTCACCATTATGAATTTAGTGAGCATAGGTGATCCATGTAACTGCCTAGAAACAGACAACATTGTAGTAATTAGTGCTTTGAAATTGAGGCTTTGTGCCCTATCACCCAACCTTCTAAAATCCTAATTGCATTGACTTCCCACCCAATGGTGAAATGCCCTTGTCATGTGCACGTAAAGTATTCGTAGTTCCATTATTGCCTGTCTGGCACTGCCATAGCCCTGTCAGCATGAACTTGTTATGTCTTGAGCTCTATTACGAATGTGAAGCCCTCCCTTTCACTTGACCCATTTCTAATTATGTAGTTCTTTGTCAGGGTGGACTTCCCGTCCGATCAGTCTCGCATGTAACGCAAGTGCTAGTTGGAGCTCTAGCCTGACGTCCTAAGGAGAAAGGGCAGTTTCCATCGTAAAACCCTCTCCTGGTGCTTATGCTCTTAACCGTCACCGCTTTAAGAGCACCAAATCTTCACTGTCGGCTGTCTTGGAGGACGTACGTAATAAGGTTTTTATTTAGTACACCAATCCTATGCACGGGTTGAGCACTAGCCAAACCTCACCAAATCTTTGCCCTAGAAAAAACAGGCGCTTGGCACCCTTGATGTCAGAGAAGTAGCAGGGGTAGTACCTGAAGGTCTGTAAGTTGCACACTTTGGTACCAGATAACTTTTTTTTTCTTTATAAGAAAGACTGAATACTCCACACTGCACAATAACTCCTCCAAGGGTTTTAACTTTGTTTTATTTTCAAACCAGGTCCCATGAGCTTTTTCTGAACAGCTGGTGTAGCTACAGAGAAACCAGCTCCCTTCAGAGAGCTTTTGGCAGGGAGGAGGAAATCCCTTCATACTTGAACATTTTCTAATTGCTTATTTATTGTATTCTGGGGTATGGCGTAAGTACAGAGAAGCCCTCACCTCAGATGGCAGTTTTTAAAAGTTTTTTTTTTTTCCCTTGGCACCATAATTCCTTTTACAACATGTTTCCAGCATTCCCAGGTAGGCCAAGGTGTCCTACAGAAAAGCCTTGGGTTAGACCTACAGGGGGTCTGGCTGGTGTTAAAACAGAAGGGAGGGCAGAGCTGGGGCAGCTGGCCATGGAGAGGCTGACTTGGCTGGTGTGGTACAGAGAAGCCAGCTTGTTTACATGCTCGCTCCATGACTGTTTGCCCTAAGCAGAAAGTGCCTTTCAGGATCTATTTTTGGAGGTGTATTACGTATGTCTGGTTCTCAATTCCAACAGTTTAATGAAGATCTAAATAAAATGCTAGGATCTACCATAACTGTGTCCATTTTTCTTCTAGAAAGGGTTTTGTTAGTTCTTACAACGAAGTATTATACCTTTAGCCTAGGATAATTATATGTTGAATCTTAACCTGTGGCTCGAGAGGAAACACATCATGGACCCAGCTGTATATGTGCTAGTTGAAAGGTCCTAAAGCTTAAAATCCAGAATTAGCACTGTTAGTTTGCCCTGGTCTCCCCGCTGCAGCGGTTATTCAATTTGCATGGCAGCTTCCATGGTATCTTTGAGGGGTAAGCCACAGAATCACAATGGACCACTAGAGGGTGCTGTACTGTGTCATGTCAGCCTTGCAAACTAGGAACTTAAACCATGCTGGTTTAAAGGTTGGGGCCTGATGGAGTAGAAAGATCTGCTGAGTGGTCCTGAGCTCAAGCTGATCTTTAGGTGCTTTCTTATGGGACACAATCTTCAGCCAACCCTAGTTTTGACAAGAGCTGTAAGGGACAGGATTATAATCTGGAAGGGAAGCCTGAAGGTATGTGTACTATTTTTACCTGGTAGTCCATGACACCACACCACTACCAGCTTGGGCAGTGGGCCACTTAGCACAGTTGATAACAGTCAATGGAGGATCTGCTCTGTCTTAACAACCCAAGTTGATGTTGGCTCTATGATTTGAGGATGTAAGCAAAAGCTTCCATCTTGCACCTGCCTCGAATTACTTGCTCCAAGAAGCTACAAACTCCCTGCCATTGAGGCCTGCCTTGGAGAGCCTGTAGGACTGCCCTATGGGTTCCTGAAACGTGGGCCTAGAAAGATGCCTCATTCCATAGAGCTGCTGATTTCAACCCAACTTTGGGTTAGTCTGACCCACTGTGCCACCAGCAGCCACCAGTGTGACAGCCAAGAAGTCTCCCTCTGACCTCAGGAGCCTTTGTAGGGAGTTAGAACTGAAGCAAAGGCTTAAGATGGCAGATGATGACAGCTGGTGGGAGCTAAGTGGGAAAGGAATGTGGGTGAGGAGTTTCATTTTGTGGAGAAAATATTTGGCTGACCAGGTAACTGGCATTGAGAATCCTGTAGCTTGGAGAGAACAAAGATCAAACAGCTGCAGCCTGATTGCTCCTGGAATCAGAACACTTTGACCAGCACTTGGATACACTGCCTTTTTAAAGTGCCCAGTATTTTCATGGGGAATGGGTGTCAGAGGTGGAATGCTCACCATGGGAAGGGCAACTTCTCCCCAAAGTTTAGAGCTTACCTTTGTAGTACAGTCAAAACAAGAGCTTAAAGGGAACAGGAGATGCTGACCCCAGTGTTAAGGCTTAGGTGTAGTGTGACTGAGAATTTGCAAAGATAAAATTCTGTGTCTATTCCAGGAAGTCACCTAGGGTTAACCTGCACTACCTTAATAATGGCCCCGTCCTAGCTACAGTCCAATGTGAGAAAATACAGGAAGTTGGAGTGAAGTAAGATTCAAGAGAAGTTGGGACTTGAAAAGGAGGAAAAGCAAGGCTTTTTAAAGCGATGGATTGGTCGGAAAAGCTATTCACTAATACAGGAGAAACGGGTAACTAGGTATAATTGGCATCCAGCTTTGCTCCTTCACTATTTGCAGAGACAAGAAATAGCTTTATGTCAGCCTGTCATCGCCATCTTGGCGGGGAGGGGTAGAGAAAGATTTTGAGGCACTGGGAGGAATGGGGTTAGTGGCTACTGAGAAGGCATCCTGTAACCCTTTCTGAAACAATGAGTCCATGAACTCTTCGGCAGGATGGTGCCCCCTGCTGGAAACAATCAGCCATACTCCCAACCAGGTCCACAGGGACATGCACCAGAGGGACAGCCTGGTGAGCAAGACAGGAAAGGGTCCTCCTGCTCTGCTCCCATGGCCCACCTCTGCTGGAAGCACTCATTGATGGAGACCCAAATATCAAAGTAGATCTGGGGCTCAGTGACATTGTACTTGGGAAGCAGCTGGCTCAGACAAGTGGCATATTGCTTCAGCATGTCTGCGTGGTCCTTCCAGCGCCGGTTCTGGGTGAACACCTGCCCCAAACCACACATTAGTCCCCTCTCGTGGTTCTCCACCTCGCGGACAGGGCATGGGGCTCCCAGAAGGAAATGGAACATGCCTTAGCAACGAACTTTCCATTGCTGAGCTAGTGGTACTTAACTTCTCTCTTCTTAAAAAAAAAATATCGTGATAAGATAGCTATTCCATCATAGTGGGCACTTGCCACTATGCCAAATTTTTCATTGCCCACCCCCACCTCCCAGGCACACATAACAAAAACACTACACTTCTTAAGCAGGCACTCCCAGTTCCTCCCACTGGCAACCTCTAAGGTGGGCCTATTCCAGGTCGAGCATGTATGTGGAATGGTACAGTATTTGCCCTTCTGCGTCTGACTTATCTCCCTCGGCAGTGTTTCAGGGTTCACGGGTTGTAGCATGTGTGGGAAGCTCATTCCTCTGCTGGAGGATCCTATACCATGATGGGACCCTGTCCCCAAAGTGCATTCTGTGTGCGTAGTGAGGCCCCCATAGCTCCCTTCTCCCTCGTGGCTATCAGCGATGCTGCTGCTATGGCCAGTCCCGAGTCTAGACGGCAGAATGGCACAAGTTCAAGGAGAGCGGCCTTGACCTATCCTAACCCACAACACAACAGGAATGTCCACCGCCCAGCTGCTGGGAACGAGCCAGAAAGGGGCCACATGTTTTCCTGGACGGAGCCTGTGGGTGGGAGGCAGACCCACGCTCCAGGGGGCTCTGAAGGCCCGGGAGTGTCAAGAGCAGCCATCTCACCCCAGGGTTCAGGTAGCCCAGCTCGCCAGTGCGGCCGTCGCGGTAGGTGATCTTCACGTGCTGGTGGGAGCGGGAATGCACCATCATGTCCCAGGAATAGCCGTACAGCCCATTGGTCCAGTTGTTGTAGCCCTGGGAAGGCCGGGCAGAGGGGAATCGGCTCACACACCATGATTCTCACACTACCAGCGCCTCTGCCTAGAGCAGGCTGCAGGAGCAGCCCATTCTCGGCCTGTGCGGCCCCGGCCCAGCCCTGCGGCCCCACCTGGGTGAGAAAGTGGCTGTAGGGCAGGAAGAGCTGCTCCAGCAGGTAGAGCACGGTGAAGGCCGCCCCCAGCTGATGGCGCAGCCCGGGCTTCCGGCCAACCCCCGCCCAGCTCCTCGTGGACAGGCAGGAAGCACTGGGCTGAGGGGCGGCCTGCAGGGGCAGCAGGTCCTGCAGCCTTTTGGGACAGTGAGACACCAGCTTCCGGGGCCACGCCGGGGAGCAGAAGAGAGGGCTGCTGGCCAGCATGACGTAGGGAAACATCCCTAGGAAGGCAGAGGAGCACGCCCTTCTGAGCTCCCTTCCCTGGAACCAGGGTCACGCCTCTCACCCCTGGCTCTCAGGGAGCCTCGGCCAGGAGTCCCACTTACAACGAAAGGGCATCACTCAGATCCTCGCACTGTCCAGAGATTCCCTACACAGCACAGGGAAGCAGCAGCCCATCCTCTGAGCCCGATTCAATCGTGTGTCACGTGATGACACTAGGCTGCATTCAGCTCCCACTCCAGCCCACCGCCCTTCCCAAGTGGGGCCTCTGGCCAGTCCCTGGCTGCCGAGCTGCGGCTCCTGTCTGCCACCTGGCTGCAGGGACTGACCGATGCTGAAGAGCTGGGAGTTCATGCAGTGGAAGTAGGACACGAAGAGAAGGCCCACGGGCCGGGAGGCATCGAAGAAGAGCAGGAAGCCAGCGGAGAGGTCGAGCAGCAGTCCACACCAGTGCACCACCAGCAGGCTGGTCATCTCCTCGGACAGCACCAGTCTGCAGACCCCAGAGGCAAGGGTCAGCCCCCGGCCACCTTCGCACGCACAGCCCATTTCCGGCCAGTCACACCTCTGCTACCCCTGTCCTCCACACCCCATGTGCGGGGAGGAACAAAACGGCCTCAGGTATCTAATCCACTGTACACTCTCCCAGCCCTTATCATTTCCGGACACTCAGGGGCCATGTGTTCCCAGTATGCCTTGCCCAGTAAGCAGGACAGTTCTTTCAGGGAAAAATTCGGACTGAGATACGTCTGTGTGTGGCAGACTTCCTTACAGAGATGGTGAGTGAGGGTCAACTTTAAATGAAAGGCGAATAAAATGTTGAGGAACTGGGGCCTAAGAGGGAAAGACCTCAGTTTAAGCCCAGACTTGCACAGACCACACTTGGAGTTCAGGCATATGTGGATTGGCTGTCACTCAGCCCATGCCCCGTATCCCACAGGTGCTCCCAGGCCAACCAAGACTGGGGCACCAACACCAGTAAAGCGTAGGCTGCTTTGTCCACTGGGATGTCTGCAGAGGGGAATCATTAATATTAATTTCCCTGTCTCAGACCCCCCCAGCACATTTCAAGGCTAGTGAGTCCAATACTGGACAGTGCAGATAAAATGTTTCCACCCTCAGGGAAAGCTTAATTGTGCAGGGGGAAACTGAACTTCCTCTTACAAAGGAAGCCTTGATGGAGAAATGTTACCAGCTTTGGGGGAATCCAGGGTAGAAGTGACCTATTCAATCCATCTTTCAGCAAATCCTTGCCACCAATATATCTCAGGCCCTGATTCCATCGAAGTGAGCAGCTGTTGTCTCACTAAGTGCCTTCAAGTCGGTTTCACTCACAGAGCCCCTCCGCACAGCAGAGGGAAGCCTACCCCCCGTGGTGCCATCCCCCACATTCTCATGTGGGATCCACTGTGGAAGCCACTGTGTCCTGCGTCTTGTGAGGAGCTTCCTCTTTGTCGCTGCCCCGCTCCTTTAGCAAGCCTGAAACCTTGACCAGGGCCTGGTCTCTCCTGGCAACGTGTCCAAATGACATGAGACGAATCTCAGCATCCTTGCCACTAAGGAGCATCTGGCTGTACTTCTTCCAGGTTTGATTTGTGGGTTCTCTTGGCAGTCCACGGTCCTTTCAATATTCTTTGTCGGCATCATAATTCGAATTCATCGATTCTCCTTTGTTCTTCCTTTTTCAATGTCCA